ATCCTGTTTTACAGATAAGGAAATAAAGTTTATCTCCTTTCTCGAAATTTCCAAGATGTATATTCTGTATCTCTAAGGCAAAAAAAAAAAAAAAAAAAAAATTGTATGGTTTCTGCAATCTTTTTGAAAGTATTGAAAGAAGAGATTACAGAACAGAAACAAGAGTGAATGTCTGACCTTGAGCCTGGATCCTAAAAATTCGTATTCATGGTTCAATCCCAAGTAACAAGTATGGTACAGTACAGTAAGTCACTGAAACAGATTTTCCCAAGATAATGCCCCTATTCAGCACCACGTAAGTAGAACAATTTATTTTGCCCTGGTTAACTGCTTCACCCACACATTTGACATTAAGCTTCAGGCTTCCTGACTGAGCAGCAAACATGTAGGACATGAATCAATGTTGTGCAGTTATGCATCACTTCCCACAGTTTTGCTGATTCAGGCAATTCATAATAAAATATAAATCAGGTTTTTGATCTAGAAACACAGAAGTTTGAAAACATATTTCAAATCTTGTTTAGCATTACTTGTCATCACTCCCTTAAAAACAAGTTGTACTTTCACATGTCCCTGGTTACAAAATAACCTGAAGTATTTTGGTGCAAGTAAAACTCAGATTCTCTACTGGAAGAAAATGTCCAAGTGATTTAAATCTCAAAAGATGCTAATAATGCAGCAGTTTCCTTCCATGAATACATGACAGACCTTGATTCCCAAGATTCTGATCTCTACAAACCACATATGCACGCAATGACATTACTGAGAAAGATGTGAAAACAAAAAGAGTATTAAAACATAGCTGTACAGGTCCATAATGAGAATTTTGTTTAATCCTGCTCATGTACTTCCCCTCCTTATAAAGAGCACCTCCCCCTCACAACATGCCTGCAGTCTCCCTAAGTAATTCACAAGCTTCGGTTTATGAATCCCTGATAATTTCGAAGCATCCAGGCTTGCAGCTTTTCCACTCTTTAATCTATTTCTAGATTAAGAAACCAATTATTTCTAGATTAAGAAATTTACCAATATTAATTTTCCACTAACAGATGTAATAACAAGAAAGACTTTGTATGAATAGGAACAGGAGTGGAAAAAAATACCTCTAATGAATGCTGATTTTAACAAAAGAAGGTCTTGGATATGAAAAATGCTTCCCTCACGTGTTGTAGAATAGACATAAATTGAAAGACTAATTCATAGTATCAATGAAGCCTGCTTTATTGCCCCATTATAATATACAAAATGTTCAAAAAGTAAGACATATTTGACAATTGTTTAATTTAACACTGTAGCTCCAAAGGAAGCTTCTCTAAGGGGCAACTGCTGCAACAGATATTCCACAAGAAGCATCCAAGGAAACGCACTTGCAGTTCAAAAAGCCATCAGGAAGCTGAGCTTACAGAAAGACAGTTTTAAAAATGCCTTTAAATTTAGAGGCCATAAGACAATTCACCATGAGGTCCCTTGCACAGTTGTAAACAAAAACTATAAAATGGAAAGACATAATTAAAGAAAAAGCAAAAAGCGAAACAGAAATCACTTTACAGAAGCTGAAAATTACTATTCCACGTATGTAAAGATGAAGAAAATAAGTACTACACACTGCTCATTTCTCCATCAAATATAAAATTGAAAGCAGTGTAGTATTATAGACACATGAATAAACTGACTGCAGCTCTGCACAATATATAAATTTTAATCCGAAAGTCTGAATCGGAACTCCTCCTCCTCCTCCTGGATTCCAGAATTTGTTTCCTGGCTTCTTCAGAAATAGACCAACGTTTATAAATTGTCTATAACAAATGCTAAAAATAATTTCTACTTTATATAGAAGCAGTTAATAGACTTCCTGTTTTACAAATGAGTAATGCACTATTTCCAGTTGCATTGAATTCCATTAACAATTACGAAGTTTGACAACAGCCCTTCAGGTTTTAGACAACCTTGTTGGCTTCCTTCAAATGTTTATAAACTATGAAAGGACTCCTGAACAACTCAGAATCAATTTAAGAACTCCTCTGGTGTTGAGATTTCTTCATATCAAGTTTATTAATGCTGACACTAAATACCTTCAATTGTAAAAGAAATGGGAAACAAAAGACAATGTGCCCCCCAGCAGCAAGTAGTAGTGTCCTGGCCAAAAAGAAAAAAAAAAAAAAAAAAAAAAATCAGTACAAGATTTTATGCATATAAAATGATAACCAAGATGACAAACAGACAAAGAAAGAGTTCGTTAAAAGGAGTAACTTAAAGACACTAAAAAATTCCAAAAGCATTTAAAAAAAAAGCTGTGATATCTAACATTAATAATTCAGCCTACTTAAAACTCAGGCTGTACCTTACTTAAGACATGCTATACAGCTACTAGGTTTAGGATAATCAGAAGCTTCTATACGCAACATATGACTAAAGTAAGTCTTTTGACTCAGTGTTTCAACCTGGTGTAAGTCAGCACATTTCCACTGAAGTTAATGGTCTAGAAGAAAAATAACCCAAGATGCTTAGGTACCTAGACCCTTGATTTTACTCATAATAAGAATTAGAATCTAAATACTATTTATGTAATAGTCTGTTTTTTTAAAGGTAATCTCAATAAACGTTAAAGCTTGGTTCACAGTATTCTACTCTGGGAAGGACTGTCGCAGTCTATTGACGAATGAAACCATATCCTATCTGCTGAGAGTAACCACAGCTCCTGGGCAGAAGAAGGCTTCTGTGCATGGGCACGGAGGAAGGCAACAGCCTCTTCAGTACATGGGTGTGCTCGCCACTGACCCGTCAAAGCGAATAGCACAAGACTTGCACATTTGGTCTCAATGTCTCCAAGCCGCGATGCCAGCCTGCACGCACCCATCACCCAACGCTATGGCTCCTCCATATCCTGTGGCATATGAACTCCTGAAGCCCAAATCTATAGGATCCTGCTGGGTCCTAGCACGCAGCAGCTGACGGACAGCACGTTCCTCAAGCATCTGTCTGCTTGCACAGCCCTTTCTCTCATCACATCCATCTGTGGGTATCAGCCATGAAAGCCCCATGCACTGGGCAACTGGTGCCTGTCCCATCACAAGAAACGTGTTGCCACTCATGCAGTAGGTCATGTCTTACATACACTGCCACAGGCAAACTAAGAAATCTGTAGACTATACTATAAAAGTCTTGAAATCTCACTGCAAAGCCTTCAGAAGTATCAGATTTCAAGGTAGTATCTAAAGAACTACTGTTCATAACCAGATAAACACATGTAACTAGTTCATGAGCTACTGAGCCAGAAGGTGGGGAAAAAAAAAAAAAATAAAAAAAAGACAAGATGGATTATACAAAGCAAGTCAGACAGATTATCAAGATCAAACAGATCACCCAAGTGAAAAGAATGAAGGGCCCATTGAAGAAAACAGCTGAACAGCCAGAACCCCTGCCTGAGTAATGGGCTTGCGGTTGTAGGCGCTCAACATGTCCCATGTTCAGGCAATAAATCTGTGTCTCCTGAGCACCAACAGAAAATTCAAAAAATGTAATACTTCATTTCTACTGCAGAACAGATCTCTCACTGGGGTTCACTAAGCAGAGTAAAGGCTTTGGAAAAACATTTATTTTCTTTACAATAATAGCAATAGTCACAAACTAGCATTTATTTATTTATTAGCAATTATTCAGCATGAGACAGTTTTTAAACAGTCAATCTTTCTTACTTCCTGACTCATGCAAAAAAAAAAACTATGCCTTTTAATGGTAACAGTTAAATTACACAACTGAAAAAAATAAGATACTTTCTACATTGCAATTGAACAACTTCAAGCCCGCTAGCACAAGGTAAAAGATCTGAAGTAGCTTTGAGGGAAAAAAAAAAAAAAAAAAAAAAAAAAAAAAGGATTGAACAAATACTTAAATGAAAGAGGACAGGATTTAGGAAGGATGAAATCTTTTTGGTCAAAAACGCAAGCACCACCTAAACGCCTTTGAAATAAACCTTTGCTGTGGACAAACTATTACTAGCTGTCTTCCCAAGCACCTGGCATTGCCTACTGACAAACCTCACTCACTCACCCTGGTGAGTGACTGGTCAATGTTTTAAAGCTGTTCTTGCCTTACCCTGTAAGAACAGGGCATCTGTCAAAAGTAACTGCATGGTCTGGGATCACCACAAGCAACTATGTAACTCCTCCAATAGTTAAAGTGTTAATTACAAAGAAACCAAAGACAATTCAAAACAAAAACAAACCACAAAAACAACAAAACAGAAACGGACAGCTGTTGCTGTGTCAAAGCATTTTCCCCTCTGTTTCAAGAAAGCCAATTTAACTACAGATGCCAACTACAAAGCTGGTGTTGAACAGTTTTTAAGAAGGGGGAAGGAAAGAAACTCAAGTTCCCCTGGGAATTCGGTTTTCAATATCCCTGTCCCTACCTGATGAAAAGGAGAGCGAAGCTGGAGCCGGGCAGCTCCCGATGCCGAACGCCACGCAGAGGCGCACACGCGAGCAAAAACGCCAGCGAAAGCCTTGGGGAATAAACTCCACCAAAAGTTCGGAAGAGGGGTAAATGCGTCTATGAGCGACCCCTTGCACCCTCGCTTCAGTAACTCGCCAAGCCGCGTTACGCTGGCAGAATTTACTTAATACTACATTTTTTAAAAATCGGGGTTTCTTCTGCTCCGCCGAAGCGGGGGGAGATCGCCAGCTGCCCCCCCGCAGCCCCAGCGAGGCGCCGGCGGCGGGAAGCGGCGGGACGAGGAGGGGTGTCTCCCCGCCAAACACCGAGCCCGGCCTCGAAGGACAAAACTTCCCGTGACTGACACCGCAGCGAGACCCCGGCGGGAACACCCACCTCCTCCTCCTCCTCCTCCTCCTCCTCCGACGCCGCCAAGAGCCCCGAAGCCGCCGCCCGCCCGCTCCGCTGCGGCTCCGGCGGCTGCCCCGCTCCCCAAACCCAAACCCACCCCCGGCCCGGCCCGGCCCGCAGCCGCCGAGCGCGCCCGCCCGCCCTCCCTCACTCACCGCCGAGCAGAGCTCCCGAGTCCCAGCGGGGACCCTCCCGGCCGCGGTCGCCGCCGCCGTTACCGCCTCCCCGGGGCTGCCGCCGCCGCGCCCCGCCCGCCGCCATCGGGGCGGGGCGAGGCTCCGCCGCCTCCCGGTTGGCGCAGCGGCCCGCCGGTCGAGGAGGGGCGGGGCGGGGCGGGGCGGGCACTCCCCGCCCCCCCCGTCTGCGTGTGTCCCCCCCTTGGACCCCCGCCGCATTCCTGCCGGCGGGGCGGGAGCCCGGCCCGCTGCCGGGGCGGGGGGAAGCCCCAGGGAGGGGGGGCAGCGCTGCCCGGGTGCAGCAGGGCTGGGGGGCGGGCGTGGGGCCAGGCCCAGCCCTGGAGAACGGGGCACACGCGGGACAAACTCCCCCCACCCCCCCCACCAGCCTCATTCTCCCGAACAGCCCACGAGCATGCTGGGAGGCGCGCTAGGCCGCGGGGGCAGTGCTGGGATTTCATCTCCTTTTCCCACTTGAAACTCGTCACTAGTTTTCAAAATGAAAGATTTTCTAAAGCTGCCGGCACCTCACACCTAAACCTTTAGATCCTGGCTCTTTCCTCCTCCTCCTCGCTCGACTCTCCCCACAGCAAGCCTCGCCGCGGACCGGCCGCGCTGTCGCTCCAAGCCCGTGTCCCTCAAACACCTAATGCCGATTCTGGAAGTAACATTCCCACGAATACAATTCAGTACGCCACGTAACCCCTTCCACAGAAGTGAACAAAAAGAAAAAAAAAAAAAAAAAAGCCACCTTCACAAGATGCAATTATTCTGAAAATGTGTACTTCACAATATACCCATGTACACATCTGTCACACTCGATTAAAATAAATGCTCCAAAGTACAATTCTTCAAACATACTATAAGTCCTTGATATCAATTACAACTATTTAATGTTGCTAAATATTATTTAAATACTTTGGACCACTTTTAAGCATGAAAACTGCAAGTTAAACGCTGTTCAAAGATCCATGTGTCATCCAGCAGTGATCCTTGCCTATTTAAGTGCATTCATGCTACAGTCAATAATGAAATACGTCCAGATATAGTAAATTCATTATCATTACATGAAAATGTTAGCAGGAAATGGTGGTGTTTCAAAAGACATTTGATTAATCCACCTTTCCTCTACATTTTTTATTTGTCTATAGTTTAACAACACACATTCACAACTATCCCATGTCTTCATGCGGGTTCATACAACCTCAATTACAAATTAGATATTTAAAAGTTGGGGGGGGGGGGGGGTTGTCTATGTTTTCGCAAAGTTATTTCTTTGTAATGCAGTTTATCACCATGTGAACTTAAAATAGTTCTTACATAGCTCTGTAGGCTCCACATAAAAAATAAAATGAGAATGAATAATTGGGCCGTATGTAAATGTTAAGGCCAGGAATACCATTATGGAATTCAGCCTCCAGTAGAGACACCATTTTATCCTGTTGTTTCATGTAATTTTTTAAATATGTTGCACTTCACTCACACCCAGTTATCATTTCAGGAGCTGAAATGGCAGGGAATCAGTCTCTGGCAAACTGATTAATGACTGCTTATCATTAGAGGTCACATTAAAGAACAGACAAATATTTACACTAAGTGCAACTAGCTCAATTCCATGATTAAAAATATGATTTACTAGAAATATCCTTTTCTTTTTGGCAGCCAACACATTATCCATGTGCACTAATTTATCCCCTTCATAATTACGTTTCACTGTTAGAGACACAAAATCCTTCCTGCTGTTCTTTTCTGAACCCTTTTGATCTTTGACAACCACTTTTTGATTCTGGTGACCATACATAAATATCCTTCTCTAATTCCAATAAGAGGTCGCTGTGGAAACCTTGTTGGACACACCAGACAATATCAGATCAACTTACAAAAAAAGCAAAACTAACTTCCAAAATAACTTGCATTCTTCCTACTATTTTCTAAGGCAACATTCTACTAGCAGTCATAATTAGCACCCTGATCATTGCAATCACAAATTCATTATTTATCCACCCGTAATTGTCGATAATTAGAGTACTGATAACGCCTGTCTCCAGAGTTAAGATGATGCTTTTCATAACCAGGTCCTAAGAAGATGATGTTTAAATTGGGTTTACCGGTGAAACACGTACAACAAGACCTCCTCAAAATTTACTTACTCTCATTGTTGCCTACTGGGGCTTCAGAAAAGATACCTCTTGTCTCCAAGCTACCATAGGTCATGTATCTACTCCAGAATGTGTACTGGTCATCTTAAGGACACCATGGACAATTAACTGTGTCCTGGCCCCACGTGACACAATGTTGTGAAAAAGGGACCTCTTTTTTCTCTCTCCATGGAAATTGGGGTGGTTGAATGGAAACTTATGACACCTAAGAACATACATCATTCCTATTGCTTGCTTTCCAAAATGTTGCATGAAATCTGAACAAGGTAACTAAAACTTAGGTTACCAAGTTCTTCAGTGATGCCAGACTTTCTCAGTTTCTTCCTTCTGTTTACCAGCTAATGTAGATGGCACTTTCTCTTAGAGAGTTTTCATCCACTGGCAATTCAGAAATTGTTTCTCTTGTTGTTCTCAACCATGTTCTCCACAAAGACACTATGTCATTTGCTTACTGTAATCCTTCAGAAACCACTCAAAGACAGGACATCCAATGGCTTTACTTAACTTGAGCATCTGCAGTACTCATGCTGGAGCCTTGTGAAGTTACATCCCCTCTACTTCCCTTACCAGATAAGGTTGAATTACAATACTTTTTAAAATTTTTATATACATATACAAATTATTTTTAAAAAGGCAAACCCACACAGCTTGCTTAAATTCAGACTGTTACATCAAAATAACATTTGGTTTTATAAAAGCATTGCTCATTCATGTTCTGACATGACGCCTACTGCTGGCCTGTCTTCCAGCTCTCCCTGAAGCACCAGCACCCCTACTGGGAGACAGTTTGCCAATTCTGAGCATACCAGCACACATTAACTTGACAAATGAGTTTTATAATACTGCCATGTTTTACCGGCACTAGAACTTCTTTTATGAATGCCTTTAAAAACTCTCTGCTTACAAGGAGACTTTGCAAGTCAAATTCTTCAGCTGCCAATTCAGATAGACTAGGTACATATTTTCCTAAATTTTAATACTCCTCAGAACCAGAGTCCTTGTGTTACATCAGCTCCTTATTGTCACGGATGGCACACGAGAGAGGGTACAGATAATGCTGTAACTTATTGTGGTAGGTTGACCTTGGCCAGCAGGCCAGACCCCCACCCAGCCACTAACACTCTCCCTCTCCTCAACAGGACAGGGGGAGAAAATAAGATGGAAAGATCGTGGGTCAAAATGAAGACAAGGAGATCACTTAGCAACTACTGTCATGGGCCAAACAGACTTGGCTGGGGGAAATTTCATTTATTGACAGCTAAAATTAGAGTAGGATGGTGAGAAACAAAAGTAAAACCACCTTTTCCCCTGCACTCCTTCTTCCCAGACTCAACTTCACTCCTTCATTCCCGACTCTTTTGCCTCCTCCAGCCCGAGAGGCACAGTGGGGTGGAGAATGGGGGTTGTGGTCAGTTCACAACAGCTCTGCTTTGCCACTCCTTCCTTATCACATTTCTCCCATGCTCCTGCGTGGGTCCTTCCCACAGGCTGCAGTCCTTCAGGATAAACCTGCTCCTGCATGGGCTCCTTCAGAGGCTGAGGGGAATCTCTGCTCTGATGCCTGGAGCGCCTCCTCCCCCTCCTTCTGCTCTCACCTTGGGGTTCACGATTGTTTCTCACTCTGTTTTTCCCCCTTCTCCTCTGACTGTCTGGTGTTTTTGCCCTTTTCTCAATATATTTCCCTCAAAGCACCCCCAGGGTGTCTGTGGGGCCGAGCCGTGCCCTGCGGTGGGTGGGTCGGAGCCGGCTGGAACCAGCCGTGTCCGGCGCGGGGCAGCCCCGGCCTCCCCTCACAGAGGCCCCGCAGCCCCCGGGGCACCTGCACCTTGTACAGTAACATGCACAAGTTATTTCCATAACACAAAATTCCTACTTTTGGTTATTTTGCTGTGCTCTGATGGCTCTGCTTCATTCTGAAGCTGAGGAAGGGAAAAACCTGAATTAATACACTGTCACAGGAGGACCATGAAGCACTAAGGTCATGCAACCGTGAAAGACAAATGCAACCTTTGGCTGAAGCAGAGCTACTTCCAGTGGTGGGAAGGAAGTACTAGTGTAATACAAGGTATTGAGAAGACTTTATATGAAATACTATGCATTACTTTAAGCCGCCACCATTTAAGAAAAAGGAATTCAAGTGGGAAAAAATGGTAAATAAAAAGTATTAGGATGACTAGGAAAATAAAAGAGCAGGTTGATTTGTACTCATGAATATGCAAAAGAGCCTCCAGGGATAAAAAATAATTATGTAAGATAAAAAGGCAATAATAATATAAGAATAAATTACTATAAATTAGAACACACCGTAGGCTACTTCAGCTTTGGGTAATACATTGCTTGGGAACTTTGATGTCCTAAAAAAGGTCCTCAGACTTATCCTCAGCCAGTGGCACTGTGATACTTAAAACAATCTGTTGCTGAGAATAAAAGAAGAGTTAAACCACTGGACAATCTACATATTCAACGTCCCACTGCAAACTGGTCAGCACTGTACAACGTAGCAACCAGTCTCAGCTATCTCATCCCAAAGCCTCCTAATTTTTTTTCATGTTTATTTCCTATGACTCCTAAGCAAGGCCACTGCTGCTTTCCAGGATACACTTTCTTCCTGTAAGTATGACGCACAAGACAAGATGATCAAGCTCTTGTTTGATGCTCCATGTTTAGTCTACACAAACCACTTCTCTGTACTTTTGTAGTTTGCCTGCACAGCTGTTTTTCAAGGTATCATAATTACCACCTTGATTTACTCTTAGAAGATCCTGACAGCAGAACTACACGGTCCATTAAGGTAGGAAAGTCAACCCTCTACTTTCTACAAAACTAGTCCTTTCTCAGCCTTTCTCAGGTGTTCCCCGCCCCCCCCCCCCCCCCCCCCCCCCCCCCCCAGTGCAAGCCCGATGCTTAAACTTCGGTGAGCACAGCTTTGGCGACAAAATGCAGTGTTCACATGGCAAAGTGCTCTTGGCAGCAGAAGTAGCAAAGCAGGAGAGGGAAGCTGCAGACCTATATAGCAATAGCAATATAAAAGTCACGCCAAGTTACTAACTGGAGCTGCCACTATAAGTACTAAAACAAGGTACATCCTCACAAGTCTTTACGGTAAATGTCAGAGAACATACCAGTGAAAACAGTGTCAGCTTATACAGCACTCTAATGTACACTAAAGGAGCAGAGGCAGCTAAAAAGAGACTCATATGAAGAAATAAATTATTTCAGACCATAAGTAATGTATCCTTTATCTGATAAAGCTAGTATTAAATTTCAATTCTCTCTGCTCAGGTCATATCCTTAAGGACTCAGAAGTGACCCGAGCTGACTCATCAGAACACACAGAGATAGCACCACGCAATGGCACAGCCAATTTCCTCGCTTTCTTCTTTGTGGACACATGAGCAGGCCCCACTCCATTCCTTTCATGCTAGGACTGTCTGCCACCTTGAACACTGACATCGTTGCACATTTGCTGCATCCGTCTCTTTGTCATTCCACCTCACTCAGCACTGTTTTTACTCAAGGAAAACAGGAAGGCAGTGTGCTGCAAGAACACTTGTTTCTGCTGTGTGACACTACCACTAACAGAACACACCGGTTAGACAGTCAGTTCCAGAGCATGCCAGGTCTCTTCCAACACTGGAAACCCATCTGGGGGGCTGATAACTAGAACAACAGGCATAAATTTTTTGTTCCAAATTATCAACTTAAATACCAGCACCATGACACAAGATCAAGATTGCAATTGCTGAATAATACCATCCATCAGGATAAGTGTGCTCTAATACTTTTCTGGGAATATGGTAGGAACTACTAAGTAAAATATATTTAACTATTAATTGAAAACATCTGAATAACAAAACATAGTAACATTTAAATTCCTTTTACATATTGTTTACAAATAAAAAGGACTTTATTCATACAAATACTATTATGCATTATTCTTCTCATCCCAGCCTGTACCCACACAAATTCCAGAGTTAGTGGAGCTTTACACATGAATGTCTTACTTTTGCTTTAACTAATCTTGGGGACTTCAGAGGCAGCTAGCAAAATTATGCCAGCCAGTTGCTTAGACAGTGCATTCTTACAAGAATAATTAAAATGCCTGTAATAACTCTATTTTCCTTTAACTCACTAATGCTGGAAAGCATCAGGAATTAATTCTTGCAAAGCACCACACAGGACACACGCTTAATGCTTAGAACTGTATTTTGTTATTTAGCAATAAGACAAGTTTTATGTTTTGGTTTTCTTCTTTTAAATTTAAGGTGTTTCATATTAAATCATGAAGTGTCATGTGGTACGAAATGAAGTGCCTTCACAGTTACAGACAAATGCAAAAATAGACCACACACTTTAAATACACAAGCCAGAAGAGTCCTTCCTAAGTGATGCTTTTTAACAGTTTTTAATACATACTTACATATAGCGCAGCTTCTAGTGTTTTATTCATGTAACTAAACATGCTCATGTTCATAATATATTAAATGTTGGTGAAGGGACATTAGTTTACAAGATTTTATAGCTATTTCCATGGATATGATATTACCTTTGCCAAGTTTAACAGCATATTTCAAAATAAACAAGTCATCTTTTTAGTGCATGCACTACAAAAAGTGTTTAAGCTACAAATAGCAAGTAAAAAATAGTAGGCATTATTTTCATCAGTAAATGAAACTCATGGTAGACAATTATTCAATAAAATACTTTTATTTATGTACACATTGTAAAGATGTTGTACCGTTCAACAAATGTTATATTGTACCAGAGCAGACTTGAATTTGCTTAACACTTTTAAATTCACTTTAAGTGGGAGTCTCCCTGAGGTTAAGAAAGGTGTCTTATAACTGTACATGACATCAATATTTAATCAGTGTTATCAGGAAAAAGGAAAAACACTTGAAAGATTTGGACATGGGTACTTAGCGAAGGAAGGGCCTAACAGTACATGCTGAAAACTATTAGACAAAAACATTGCTGCGGTAATGTGACTGCTGCAAGGTCATGACCAGTACTGCAAGTAAGAGTAAATATTATAGAAAAATTTGTGGGTGCGAGGGGAAACCATGACAGCTTTTGGAAAAAAAACATGACAGGACACAAATGGAGGCAAACACAAACTGTGACTTAGGAATGCTGTATGAAGACAGTAAGAACCAGGTGCCTGGGCAGAGTGTCTTAGATCAGACATCTTCCTTTAAAACACTCCCTCCCCATCCCCCCATCCCCCCCCCAAAAAAACAAAACCAAAAAAAACCAAACAAAAACAAACCTCTAAATAAACACCAAACACCCCCATCACAGTTTGTTTGTTTGGGATTTGGGGGATTTTTTTTTTTTTAAAGTTTCAGCCAGAAAGATGACACTAAGAGCACTCCTTGAATAAGCCTCTCCTACAAGAAAGCAGGGTGAAGTCTCTAATAATCACCTAGGCAAACAAAAAGTTCACCCAAAAATCTATTATGCAAGAGTTGTCCAAATCACAGCAGCAGCACACCCTGTGACCTGATCTAGCCACTACTAAAGCTGACTGAATTTTTCTACATCAGAGTGCAGATGAGGACTTGTAAGAGAGGCCCAACAGGACTGGGATTAGTTTCACATTACCAAAATTATAAACAAACTATAGCTAGTCTACCTTTGGGTTGAAGAGCAGCACTTAGTTATGAGAGTAATTAGACAGCAAAACCCTCAGTGAAGATAGCTTTTCCAGTCTTGTTTCAGAGCAATGAGACAGTCACCCACAAGCATAAACCAGAAAATCCTCTCGAAGAAAGCAGCCAAAAGGCACTGAAGAAAACACCTGAGTATAAAAAAAGAGGCTCCATGTAATAGAACTGGTAACTCCAACTCTAGGCTGTCAAGATGAATAAGAAAGGTTGTCTGTATTTTTATGTCCTGTTGTATTTCTAGCTGGACTGTAAAATCCCCTCACCCCTCAAACCAACAGAAACAAAATGAGTGCTGTCATTTGCTTTATTGCATCGCTCTCTTATTATAGGAGATCTAGTAGTGTTTAGGTTAACAGGTGCTCTTAGGTATTATTATAGTTAAGACATATGAAAGATTTTCAAGATACACTGTAACAGTCTTTGCGTGAAAAAACTCACACTAAGATGCATACTAAAAAGACTGCCTTATTATGATAAAAAATACTTTTAGTGAAAGATTTAAAACCAATTTAATAACATTACACAAAGTAATAATACAAAATATTAAACTTTAGAAGTCTGATGCCACTAACAACTATCCACCTGTCTGCCTGGAGCACACCTAATCTCTTTTTTAAGTCCCAAATACACCAACAACCTCAAACCTCCATATTCTTTCATTTCAGCACACAGAAACTTCACCTTTTTTAGCCAGCCACTTTAAGAATTACTCACTTAGCCAAAACTTGTTTTTCTTCTGATGCTTCCATTTTCTGTTAAGATTCTTCAGAATTCTGTAGCTGGGATTTTTATAACAAACAACTTGTTTTATTGAATCCAAACCTTTCAGTTTTAAGCTACATAAAGCACACCATCATTTTGATAGCTGGTGACTTATCCTCTGCCTTCTGCCCTTGGAACTCCTGTAAGTGAGGTTTGGATTCTGCAAGATACGCATTTGGGTCACATATTTGGATTCTGTTTCTGAGGAATTCACCCCTCTGCTTTATTCTAAAGTACTTTTAACATTACTCTCCCCCACACAACCCCTCAGGAGAGATATGTAATTTTAAGCTTTAGAGAACCCTCTTTTCTATAAAATAGCATCCAGACAGGTGACACTGCCAAAACACTATATCATCATTCTGGTCTGCTTAGAATTAAGAAGGTAACACAAAATTTAGATTTTTCTCTATTGAATATCTGAAGGATAACAGACAGGGTTGCTGTGCAAAATTACTAAGACCCTCGTAGCCTAGTTTTGAACAGGCAATTTCAGATATTCACCACTTCATCACACCAACAAGATCTGTCTGTACATTTGTACAGTAATGTACAGTAAGAAGTTTCCTCTCCCTCATACAGTAGCTTTTCAACTCTATGCCCACAACAAAGTAAAATAGAGAATACAGCAACCTGGCCACTAGCTTCCTCAGAACAAAATCAAAGGCATTCCCACAAAAAAATTAGTAAAATGAGGCTGTTTACACCAACCAGTGCTTCTCTTACACATTTAAAACAATATGCTCAACCACAGATCAGTACACAAAGCCTTTAACACACACCTTGACCTAAAATTCTTCACAGCTTGGGCTTGCCCTTTGGAAAGTAAAACTGTGTAGCAGTGTCCTCACACTATACAACAAAGTTTCAAAGAACAGGTTTTTTATCTCACTAGTTCAGTACATGAAAATTAATTAATACCTTTATTATTCTCCTGCCACTAGGCGTCACTCTCTTCTATCGTGATCTTTATACCTTCATCTGCTGTCCAACATTTCACCCAGGAACCATCAGTCCAACACTATTAGTAGGAGAACATTCACCACAGTTTGACAAATCCCTATCTAAAAAAGCAACCCCTATTCCTTAGGTCAAGGAAAAATTTAGTGATGTGGCAGATAAAGAGCAAAGGATCATTAGAGTCACTTTGTAAGTTCTTCAAAGTAAAGTAATACTAAAAGAACAACTGAACTCCTGAAGGAGGTGATATGGCCCTTCCTCCACAGAGGAGTCACCATAGACCTCAAACCCCTCTTTTTTTCAAAAATTAGAGGAACCATACAGGAGCACTAGTGTAACTAATTAAGTTGACCTGAGTGGTCATGCAAATAAAATAATTTTACTAATCAACCAGCAATCTTTTCAAGGGTGAAACAGAGTCAAACATTCTGTCATTACCTCTTGTATTTCACTGATTTTACATCCAGAAGGGACCACTATGATTAGCTAGCTAGACCACCAACACAACAAATGCCTGCAACCCCACATGCATGTTTGTGGTGGACAGGAACTCCTCCCATACTGAGGGCGACCTGGAAGCTGCAACTCACTCTGACAGCAAACACTCAAACAATTATCTTCCTCAAGTGCACTTAAAAAAAAAAAAACAAAACAACCCAACAACAAAAAACCCAAACCCCAGCCGTGACTGCCTTCTACCACTGACCAATTCAGCCACTTGGAATGATTTAATGGCACACAGGAACTAGGTACCCATGCATACCTAATTTGGTTCATAATTGATCTTAACAAACAACATAATTTCCAGTATCAGTATCTCTGACATACATGAAATAGGATTCAAGCTAAACTTGATTCAAGCTGAGCTTAATAGACAAATTAATTGTAAAGCCACTTTGAAGCATTAGGACATAGGATGTCATTAGAGAGCATGTCATTACTAAATCATGGAATACTGTCCAACCTGATAAAATTGTTGGTGCAATTCGTAACTAAGAGGTTGAAGATCTTATGTGTGTGCACATATGAAACACAAATAATGCTTTTAAATACTTCTAGTGCATACAGAATGCTACCAGCAAGGAATCACTGTGTTAATGAGCTTCTTGCAAAAGCTTCTAGTTCACAAGCAAAGAATTACTTTGCATTATATTCTTCCACTACCCTAGTAGGAAACATCTGTTTCAGTGTTATATCCTCTTCTTTTGATGTGTTTCACCATTTAATTTTCCATTTTCCACTGTTTTACTTTCAAAGTTCCAGTCAGTTGGGCGGAGGAGTTGCTGAGTTTTTTTGTATGTCCAGTATGGGTTAAGTATTAGTGTAACGGCAAATAATCCCGAGAATAAAACAATAAAATGAAGAAGTCCCAGGTTTTCCACCACAGAATTCCAATTGAAAATGCACACCCACCACATGTGGTAAGTAAGAATCATGCGGCAGTGAAACAGGTGGATCATCACCCACTGGTTTGCCTTCCAGAAGAAGGTGCTAGCACGGCCAGCCTAGAAAAACAAGAACAGAAAGTATGCCGAAGTGAGATTATTACTTCAAGATAAGGAACTGAGGAATCTGTAGAACTAATGTAAATATTCATCTTTCACATACACACGCTCTCAGGCATTTTTTCCATGTAGAGCTATGATATTCCACATGCATACAGCATCCTAAACTCAGAACGAATCTATACCAACTCACTGTCCACATGTACACAGCATCACACAGAAACCTATAGGGAAGACTACAGAAATATCATCATGACAAAAGCTGATATCACAATAACATGGGTATCAGTTACATGAACACAGATTACCTATGGGCAAGCAAGTGAGATGCCTGAAAACTATTACAAACATAACTTGAAAATCACCACAGTCTTACCTTTAGAAGCATCCAGGAAATACATGTTGAGGGAGTACTCATCTCCAGCAACATTCCCATCAAAGGCAGATAATGTCCAGATTTCACATTAATTACTAGACCAGCCAGGCCACCAAAAGCAAGCAAGTGATGAGCCACCAAGAACACATCAAATGTTCTAAAAATAATGTTGGACATGTGAACAGCTACATTTTCAAGCAAGAAAAATCCAGCAGCTATTAAACAGTTAAACCAACTCCACTTTTGCTGTGAATACACTTTGTCAGCATGAAAAACAGGATCTATGAGCAAAGCCCATAAACCAGCAACACAACTCTGAAGTCCAAACACGCCACGTGTGACTGCCATATTCCAAAACACCTTCTCCTTTGCATACAATGCACGATAAGTGGTGCTTATCCATGAAGACAACCAGTGAGACAGAAAAAATACCCCCAAGTAGATTAAAAAACCAGCAGCTATAAATGTCAAACGAACTTCCCATAAGAGATAGTCCCAGTCAAAAATGGTCCCAAACACTTCATCGTCATTTCTAAGACTCATTTCTTCTTTTTTACAGAGCAAAGCCTTCCAAGGGGCTTGGCACTTCTCACCCGCACTACAGTCTCCTTTACGCCTATTCCGTCTCTGCCATTATGCAAACCAGAAACCATGAACTCTTCTTTACCATCTGGAACAAGGAGAAAAAAATTAAGTGAATTTTTAAGTCATCTATATACATAACTTCTAAACCATCAAGAACTCACTTCCACTGCAGTTACAACTGTGGTCCTGTTGTCATTAGGCACAGTCATCCCAAAGACAGGTAGACAGATAAAAAACCTTAAGCAATGTGTTTAACAGTTGGCCTACAAAATCTGTACTAGTCCAAAGTAATGCACTGAAACAAAAGCTGAAGAGGGCAAAGTAGGAAGGCAGGAAAGAGGAAGAGAAAATACCAGCAACAAACTCTGTCTTCTTACTTATGAAACTTGTATTTCAGCAGCAGCATGCAGTTATTCTACTTCGTGATTCTCCTACTCCCCTGCTTTTTCCACCGCTCCCTAGGGCTTTGAGTGCAATTCAGAATCTCAAATACAGATCCAGGACATAAAACTACAAAAACTTAATCCTGTAAGTGTGGCCGCTCATCCTGAAAGCCCTTTTCTGTGTATCTCAAAACAAGACTTTGCAACCAGTTTCTGAACATTAAACCACTTTCCAACAGAAAACACATTCCAAAAATGCAATAAAAGCATGGAATGCAGGCAAGCAACATTAATATGTATTATTAACAACATTAGTGTAATTAACCGAACAGCCTGGCAGTGAGTGCCCTAAGTTAGCTGAAACTTCCTGAATGCACCACAGTTGAAAAACAGATTTGCGGGGAGGGAAAAGCCACATAATAGTGCAATATTTGAACGCCAGCTCATTTTATGAACGATTTAGGCGATCTCAGAATGACCACCAGACAGACCCACTGCAGCCTGGAAATGCTCAGAACCACAAACGGTGCGTTTGGGAGTTTAGTGGGAGCTCGATGAAGAAGCCACAGCAACCAGAGAGTCCAGAGCCCCTGGCGAGATGCTGCCGCCTCGCTTCACCACGCAGAAAATACCAGCACGGCAACCCAGGTCCTGCAGGGACCGGCCCCCCCCGGCCTTTGCTCGCAGGTGTCCCAAGCCCGACAAGATGGGGGGGGGGCGGGGAGGGCGGGTTCGCTGGCAGGCCCGGTCCGAAGGACCTACGCCCGCCCCACGGCCTGACAAAACCAACTCGAAGGTGGGGTCCCAGCAGATCCCCCCACTCTCCCGGGGGAAAAAAGGGGTAAAACACACCGATCCGATGGCACGAGCAGGCCCTGAAGAGCGCGACCCGCTGCGGCGAGCCCTGGCTCTAGAAGGGCCGTGACAGCTCCTCCGCCCCCACACAAACACCGGCAGCAACTCCCCCCGTCCCCGCCCGCCTCCCCCCCGCGGCCGCCGAGCCCCTCACTCAGACTCGGGTGGGGGGGGGCCGGCCCCGGCGCACAGATCTCGCTCACACCCGCCGCTCCTCACCCACAGCGCTGCCCGACGCGGCGGGCCGGCCCTTCCCGGCTCCGGGACTGCCCCGGGCGGCAAACCACCCTCACCGGCCTCCCGAGCGCGCCCGGCCCGACCCACCGCACCGCAACCTCCCCCGGCTCCGCAGCCGCCATGGGCCGGCCTGCGCATGCGCCGTACGCCACACAACGCCACCGCCCCCTGCGCGCATCGGCCCGGCGGCACGAACCACCGGGCGCCGCGGGGGGGGGAGGTGGGGGTGCGCGGCTATACCACTGGGGCGGGGGGGGGGGGGGGACAGGCGGCGGTGTTTTTCTCCACCACAGCTGAAAGATTAATAATATTTAACAGATGCCTGTTCAACAATAATAATAATAAAAAGAAGGAGCAGTGATGCCATAGCTAGTACCTTTACCTGTAATTATACAATTTCATTAAACACAACAAATTATTAAATTGATGTCATGGAGTTCTGCTACATGATTCTCTCCATACCTGTGAAAATTGATGCTGTCATCCCAGTGACTCAGCCCGGCAGGATCTCGGAAGCATCACCGGGGCAGGTCACTGGAACCATGCCGGGAGGGTTCCACAGCTGTGCCTCAGCCCTGCACCCGGGGTTTTGCATGGCTTCAGCATGAGCGACTGCGCGTTTTGCCAGGGAAAAGCGCAGTCCCACGACAGAGCAGGTGATTCCACCAACAAGGGACCAAAAAAAATAAAATCAAGCCACAGCTTCCACATGGAGAATTGCTAATGTGATACACCTGATGGACGCCCCAAGCTCTGTCACAAGTAAAATCTCTTCATACACCACCTCCATAGTTTACATAAGGGCAGCCAGCCCAGGTGTTTATAGGAAAAGTCTGGGAACAAAACCTACCCGCTCGTGTCTCCTTTCAATGCGCTGGGTGTGAGGCATCACACCTTCTCTCCAAGCTCTACAGACAGCCCCGAGGGACACCAGGGTTTGGCTGAAGCCATGCCCACACACCCAGACACTACCTGTGTGCCATCGAGGTGAGTCACAGGCTGGGGCAGGCCTGACACCCCACCGCCTGCATCTCTGCCCAGGAGGCCCCGGCTCAGCAGGAAATGCAGGGCGAGGAATTTCAGCCAACGTACTTATTTCACGCAGAGAGCACACTCATGATCAAGTGACAGAGATCCTAATGACACGCGCTGGCAAGTTGGTCTTGTAGACAGAAGGATTCGTCTTTGCACAAAAGTGAGAGTAGATTTGTTGGAAAGCTCTGAGTCAAAGCCATTTGCTAACCCTGAAGAGGAAAAAGGGCTGTAGGGCCTGAGAGATGCAAAGTAGAAGATTTGGAGGAGTTGTCACTTGGGAAGTGCTTCCTAGCTGGTGATGGATATTCATTTAATAACCTCTGTTCCCTAACAGATGCTGGACCTGTCCTGGATAACATGAAAAGGATGAGAAAGCTGAACAAGCAAAAGCTGAGTGAGCTACTGTTAGAAGAAGTTGCTCTCCCAAGTAGCATGATGGGGCTAATGCACCAAGAGCATGTGGTTTAACTTCCCCTAATTTTGTTTTTCCCATAGTTATCTTTAAAGAATTCCTTTAAATTGTAAAACCTTGAGTCAGGAGATTTTTTCACTTACCTATAAGGAACTGTGATAGTACTGTAAAAACGAGATCATAGGCTGTTGTCTATCTTGGAGATTTTCCTTGTCTTTGCTGCTTTTCTTCCCTTCTCAAGCAAAATCACATCTTTTTTAATTACTGCTAGCTGTAGACGTGATGAAATAGTTTAGTGTTACTTTCTGAATCTACTGATACTACAACCATACTTAGTGACAACTTTTTAATATGTGCCTCATTATGGTAATTATGATCACTTCAGGTATTTCAAAATAGTTCTTCCTGCAGTGAGGCTCATCTTACATATTATGTCATACTCAGTTCTCCCTTTTACAGCCATTCTGGCTGGATGCTACAGCATGCCCTGTCCAAAGCTAAATTTCCTGACTATCTGCAGTCTCAGTTTTGGAAGACTTCCTCGGCATCTTTAGAATACCATAGCTGGAAGAGCAAAGAGCACCTCCAGGCAGGGAGTCCTGCCTGCAGCCTGGGTGATCTGCACCTTGTAGCTAAGAGCCTCTGTATACTGTTTCGGTAGTGCTTGCCTGCAGTCAAGAACTGAACATGATTTTCTCTCACTTTACAGTATCTGCATTTTAGTGCCTCAATGGCTACATCTATACAGCCCCCCATGTGGGGGCTGCCTTTTACTTTGAAATGGTGTGGCTACATCCCTGCTGCCCATTGAATATGATTTTGGCACACACTATCTCCCAAAACATCCATAGAAATGTTGGCTTCAGAAGATAATTTTGGCCAGACTCCTGCTTCAAATGGGACCAGTTCCCAATACCCAGGAACCATCTAGCAAAGCACCAGTTGGCACAGGCCAAACTTCTTCCAGGTAGCATACTAATAATTAAATATTGCATGCAGTAATGAATCAGGAGTTTCTCTATTGTATTTATGAATATATAGATAGCTGATAAAAATGTCTTTAGTTTTATCACTTTTTTTTTTTCTCTTCATTCCTCAAATTGGAGTGCCACGATCCCAGGTCTTTTTCCTGCTCCCTGTATTTCCAGTGGCAGACTAGTACCCTCTCAGTGGTGTGAGAGCACCTTAAAAGCAGAGTCTCAGGGGTTGTGTATGGAGGACACAAGACCAACCAGTGAGACCTTCAGTGAGAGGGGAGCCAACAGTTTGTGCAGAGGATGCAGGATGACTATTATAGGACATGTATGAGCACTTGTGTGTATGTGTGTATCAGGAATACAGAATATAGCAAGCTGGTGCTTCTATTGCCATTGGCAGTGAATTGAGTAAGGTGTTTTAGGGGTGGGTTGAGAAAGGCGTTTTAATCCCATTAACAAATTAATCCATCCATTGCAGACAAGTGTTTATCCTGTAAAGATTTGCCTTAGGCATGTAGGGGCAGAAAAGTCCAGAACAAGCCACCCTGAATTCTGCCTCTTGCTATGGCAACAGAGGGGAGTTCTTTCTCTGCAGGAGACATGGTGTGATGGCAAAGTGGCCAGAAATTATCTGTGGCAGCAGTGAAGGAATGGAGATTGGAAGCAATCCTGCCTGATGAGGCTGTTCTCTGATCATTTTATAGTTCTGTCTCATCCTCTGAGTCACATATGAAGGAACTGGTTACTGCTTTAGGTTATTTTAAATAATTTTCTATTTCCAGAGTACCAAAAACCGGTAGTGAGTGGTACTGTATGTTGAACTAAGTCCTCTGAGTATAAATAAAACCTGATCTGGTAATCTTCCCAATAGAGGATGAAAAGTAGGCTTCAACTTTAAAAGTCCAGACCTCGTTGACTTCTCAAAAGGTTTTAGCTCTCTCTTCCCAAAGTTTTCAAAAAGCTTGCATGTTTACACACACAGATCCTTGCATATACGCATAACTTGTGCTGACCTGTCACATAATCATATATTTTCAGTGACATACTTCTTGAACTGTTTCTTTAAACTGAAATTTGCTCCTTTACGACCTATTAATCTGCAGTCTGCATTCAAATCTGTGGGAGCTTTACTACTAATTGTGGGAGCTTTGCTTCACGTCTGTGGGAGGTTTACTACATGACCGCCTGAAGGAACTCTGTGGCAATACCAGATGTGTAAATCTCACTTCGTTAATGTTTTACACATACTCTCAAAGTTCTCCTGATTCTTGTCGAACAAGTACTTATGCAGTATTCCTATGTGCAAACTACAGTTATTCCAAGAAGCACTTTGAACATGCTTGTTTAAGGCATTTTTCCTCTCAGCTAATAGGAAGCATACTCAACTTCTTTCAGAAAACCTGTATTACAAAGCTTTCATGTACGTCAAAGATTCAGAAAGTCTTTACATTGCATAACATATTAATCTACCCAGGCTGGTTTGCTTTCCTCAGTACCTGGAGATCAGCACTAGTTTCTACAAACTCTTTTTCTACTTCACTTACGGTCAGTTTTAAATGAGTTAATCAACTCGTGCTGCAGAGCAGATAGTAGCAACAGCTGCCCTGAAGCACATGATATTCTCAAAATTTTTAAAAATTAAGATTTCCTGAGCATCCAAACTTTAAACTACCAGTTGTGAAAATTGCAGCAATGAAAATGGCTGTTTTTGCCTGCTTGAATCTTCCCAGATAATTCAAATATTGTAGAACTTGAGAGTCTTTGCTCAGTCCCTCTCAAGATTACCCCCCCCCCCCCCCCCCCCCCCCCCCCCCCCCCCCTTTCTCTTTACCTTATTAACATTTAATGAAAATGCTGGAGGTATACAATTGCTGTTGAATAGTGCTGTCTATCCCAGTCTCACTAAAAAAAGCTCTCAGGTGTAGACGCTGTTCAGGATGTTTATAATCCCCATGCTGACCCTGTGACATCTGGCCATTCCCTGTCCACTGCTTAATCGGACCTCACCAGTACAGCCTTTGGGCAATTACTCCTTCAGTATTTCCTCCCTTCTCAATATTTTACTTCCATTCAAGGCAAGATATCCTACCCATTTTTCTTCTAATCCTAATTTATTTCTATTATGATACAAGACACTCTCAAGGTCTCTCCTGCTTGGTCCAGTCATTTCTCTCAAGAATTTCTCTAAATCTCAACTCCTCTCTCCCGTTAGCTCTGCAAGTAATCTGCAATGCTAAAAATGTTGCTGCTTCACCTCTTCTTTGTGTCCTTAAATTCATACCTCACTCCAAAACCTTCCTAGCCTCTTTCCATTTTGCAAGCTTCT